GATATCACCGCTAAACGGTTAAATACAAGAACAGGAAAAAAAGTCACTAGCTATGTTCATGTACTATTTTCAGTTTCAGTAAAATCATGAAGACACAAGAAAAATCACAGATGAAAAAATGGAAGAGTCCAATAAATGTGAACAACTCTTCCCAAGAAGGCTGGCTGGAAAGCCAGGATGCTAGCTCAAGCCTGAAATTCCTGAATTTGCAAAGTGTAGGATAGAGAGAGGACCAGACCATTGTGAGTTTGAGGCCAGACTCAAATTTTAATTAATTAATTAATTTTAAAAATCCAACAACAAAGTTTGGCTGCAAAACTGAGACAACCCAGAACAGTAAACTATGTGGAGGTTCTTAAGAAGAGACTTTTAAGCTAAGAAATGGTAAGAAGTCAATGAGAAAACATACTTTCTTGAGAAGTCTGCTAAAGTTCTCCATGTCTTTGAAATGCTTTCACTGCCTCTCTGCCTTAACTGAAAATTGGCTTTCCAATCAGGACACTTCTCATCACTTGGCCTTTCTCAGTTTCTCATGCCACACCCTCTAGCATGAGCAATAAAAACCCAGAGACTGATACTAATGTTCAAGCTGAATATCAGAAAAGCAAAGCAGCCAGTCACTAGCTCTTACCTCTACCTCAGACTAAAAGGGCTGTCCTGCCTCAGCGTGGCTGGAGACTAATTCGCTGAGACTGACTTTGCTTCTTCCTTTTATACCTCTTAAATCCTGGGATTAAAGGCAAGTGATCCCAAGTGCTGAGACCATCTTTGTGTGAGCTCTTTCTCTTTAGGACTGGATCAATTTCATGGAGCTCAGTGTGGTCTTGAACTGAGATTGGTCTGCCTGTCTCCTTAGTCCTGGAATTAAAGGTGTGTGCACCACAGCCTGGCTCTATGGCTTGCTAGTATGGCTGATGGGATAAAAGATGTGTATCACCACCTCCTGGCTCTGTGACTTGTGGCTAGCTTTCCTTTCTGTACCCTTAGGCAAGCTTTAATAAATCACAAATAATACATCACCACAACACCCAATATTGAGAAATGGCCTTTATTAGGCCATTACTCCTAAATCCTCATGAATACTCTTGCTCTTATTCTCACGCTATTCAGCCAACAGTCTTCTCCCTTGTTCCTCACTGACGGTTAACAATCATCAGAATGTACGGGCACCAAACTCACAGTGGTCACTAAGCTCTACACCACCACTCCTGCTCCCATGCTGCTGGTTTCAACACACACATGAATGAGTCCTTTAAAATCAGTTCTTCAAACTCTCCATCCCCAGTAAGCAACTCTATTTTCTGGCTCCAGCCATTCAATCACTTGTGAATTCATTTACTTGTACTATTATCCATTCATTCATCAAATATAGTAACTACCTATTATTTGCTCAGCAGAGAACACATGACAGTCACTGTCCTAATGAAATATAGGACTTTTTTCTTCACATTTTCCACAAAGACAGCATGAAAAGATGTAGCTGAAATCCAGTACATGACAACCACATTTCTTCTATTCATCAGTCAAGTAACCCATCTCATTCTGTGAAACTGGTGTTGTCTGGTGTGATTCAATGAATCTCTGTGGAGTCCTAGTGATCACTATTTCCCTTGATAAGGGTTTGAAAACTATTAGATTGTCTATTTTCAAATAAAACTAGAGTTCATCGTTATTAGATAGTCCAGTCTAAAAATAAAGCCAGAGTTCATCATTAGACCAGAAAATGCAATATTTTCATGCAATTTTAGAAAGACTAAATAGCATTTAATTGCACAGAATTTTACTGGTAGGGAAAACGAAAAATTAGACATAGTAATGCATGCCTGAAATCCCAGCACTCTGGAGGTGGACGTAGAAGGACTGTCACTTGTTCCAGGGCAGGGAGTAAGACCTTGACTCAAAAAAACCAAAGGAGCACTGAAGAGACTGTTGATTGGCTAAGAGAATTGTTGTTCTTGCAGATAACCTGGGTTTAATTCCACACCCACATGGCAGCTCACAACCATCAATAGCTCAAAGGAAATTCAATGGCTTGTAAACCATTGGAAACTCCCATTCACATACTTCTTATCCTTCTCTCCTTTCATTTGTATTTGTGATTTGAAATATCCCCCAAGGATTTCCATGTTTGAACACTTGGTCCCTAATGGTGACACTGTTTGGGAAGACTATAGAACCTTTAGGAGGTGGAGCACTGATGAGACAAAGTGAACAAAGTGAGTCACGGGTGGGGGGAACTTGAAACTTTTTTTTTTTTGGTGTTTTTTGAGACAGGGTTTCTCTGTGTAACAGCCCTGGCTGTCCTATAGTGAAGGCTAGCCTCAAACTCACTAAGATCTACCTCCCTCTGCCTCCCAAGCCAGGAGGCGGTGGCACACGCCTTGAGAGTCCTTGAAGCTTTTTATATAAGCCCAGACCCATTTCCCATTCACTCTCTGCTGCCTGTGTGCAAACGCAATGTGATAAACCAGCGTCTTGCTCCTGCCACCATGCTCTCCCTTCCTGCTACCATGTCTTCCCCACCATGAGCAACTGTATTCCTCTGGAACTGTGTTCAAATCCTTTCTCCACTAAGTTGTTTCTGTCAGGATTTTTGTTTAGGGTTCACAGACTTTATTGGTTCAACAATAAATGGTAAGGAAAATAACTATCACTCCTGGGGTGTCATCCACAGACACAAAAAATACCCTTCCAAAAAGCTTATCAGGATGTTTAACACAGCAATAAGACAAGGAAATAAGGCAATGCTTATTAACATACAATGTCTGCAATTTATTCATTTACTTATTTTATCATGTTTCCTTAGCTAGCATAAATGAGATTTCAGATATTTGTCTGCCTTGTTCCCTACTAGAGTCCCAGCACTTGACACATAATACATACTCAATGTATACTGCTTTTATAATTACATTATTTATTCTGTGTCTGTGTGTGCACTGGTGTAGGTGTGCCATGGTGAGCATGTGGAGGCCAGACAACAACCTGTAGGAGTTGGTTCTCTCCTTCCACCATTAAGTCACAGTGATTGATCTCAAGTATTCAGCTTGGCTTACCTTTACCTACTGAAAAATCTCCCAGCCTTTAATATGTATATTTTAATTGAATGAAAAAAATAATGCTCAAAAAATAAGTTGCTGGAAAGGTGTTAACAAACATGCTAGTTACATGCCAACACTGTTTTAATTACATTAATTCATTTAGCCATTCTAAGAAGTTAAATAATATTGCTATTATTCTAATTTTTCAGAAGAATTTAAGAAGAAGTTAAAGTTAAGAAATTAAGGTTGGAGAGATGGCTCAGTAGTTAAGAGCACTTACTCTCTTGCAGAGGACCCAAGTTCTGTTCCTAGCACCTACATCAATCAGGCAGTTCACAACAATCTACACCTTCAATTCGTATGGCCCTCTGCCACATATACATCATATACACATAAGTAAAATTATCTTTTTTTAAAGAAATTATGGTTAAGGCCAAGTATGGTGGCACACACTTTAACACAGCACTCTAACCCCAGCACTCAGGAGGCAAAGGCAGATGGATCTGAGTTCAAAGCCAGTCTAATCTACAGAGCAAATTCCAGAACAACCAGGACTACACAGAGAAACTCTGTCTCGAAGAAAAAAAAAAAAAAGAAAAACACAACTAAGCTTAAATAGCAAAATGCCATACACTATACAATGGCAAGGCTAAAATTAAACACTAATTCCAGAATTGACACTCCAAAACATGGAAAACCTCAAGCGCCATACAGTTCAATTATATTCCACATAATCATGGCCCAAGGCTCTGGAAATAGCTGATGTACTACTTATTTGATTACTCATAGTACTTTGTTCTCTGCTCTTTCTCCATCAATGGTTCTGATACCTTATATATAAAATACATCTAACAGTTCTCATATTCCTTCCTACTAAGGGCAACAGCACCTGTTTCTGTAAAAACCTTCACTTTTACATTTCCAGTCTGAACATGGATTACAAGACTGACATAATTCTTTATGACTTTAGTAATGAAGAAAAACAAGCTTCAATGGACTCAACAAGAATAGGATAGGGAGAAGCAAACAACCTCAAAAAAAAAAAAAAAAAAAAGACAATCTACACTGTAGCTCAATCAGACCTGGAACTCACTATGTAGTGAGTGTGTGTCTGTGTTTGATCCCAGCAATCCACAGTGGGAGAACCAAGTCCCAAAGGCTGCCCTTTGACCTCAAAGCGGGTGCAAGACACACACTTTAAGTCCATTTTTTTTAACTCCAAAAATAATCAACCTCCAATGAATACAATGAACACAAAATGTATCAAGGTCTATCGAAAAACAAGGTGTAAAAGACAGTTGCACTTTAAAACACTTAAGCAATTTTTACACAATTAGCTCCAACAGAACTGTTCAGTTTGTTTTATCCACTCAAAGCCATCAACCACAACCACCTGCAACTATCACTCTGAAATACGCCTGGCAAAGAAACCGAGTCCCGGGCCTTTTCCTAAGGGTTCAGTTTAAGAACTAAAAGTGGTACAATGAGTTCAATCGCTAGATGAGGCGGGAGTGGGGGGTTGGCAGGAAAAATTAAAAAGCTGGAAGACAGCACTTTTAAGAGGCTAACAGTAATAAGACATACTCCCTTATGGTTGCTACAGAATGAAGTTGTCTAAACATCAACATCTTCCTTGTGTGTAAAACCTGGTTCACTCATGCTCACAATTTACCTACCCCAAGTCAACGCAAAGGGACTCTCTTCCCTCCGCGAATTCTACTCATCCGGTCAAGAAAAGAACCAAAACCCTAAAGTGGCAATGTGAGATCTGCTTCAGGAGCCCCTCCAGCTACCTCGAAGGCAACATCCACGCTTCGTTCTCCTTTTGAAATACAACCTTTCTTCTTCTATCTCACCAGGTCCAAAATAAAAATAAAAAAATCATCTTAAACGTTCTACATCGGATCCACCCTGGCTGCACCCCAACTCCAAGGCCCCCCAATGTCCCCGCCTCCCCACACCATGCCTCCCACCTCCGGGTCTCGGAAACGCCAGAAGCCCCCACCTCCCACAGCGGAGGTCCCCTCCGCCGGCGCCTTCGCTCCCGCCCAATCCCGGAGCTCCGCAGGGCGCGGTCGCCGGTGGGCTCCGGTGAGCTGGGGCGGGGTCCGCTCTCCCGACCTCCCCATCCTTCCCCCCCCAAGTCCAGGCTCGATGAGGAGGGGGAGGGGTCCCGAAGCCTCACCTACAGCTCCGCCCCTCCCCAGGGGCACTCTGCCCTGCCCAGCCAGGGCCGGGAGCGCCGAGCCGGGTAGGAAACGGCAAATGCCTCAGCGCCTGCGACCGCCGGACAGCTCGAGGTTCCGCCAGACGCGCGGGCGGCTCCCGACGCGGCCGCCTCAGTCTCCTCAGGGCCGCCGCTGCCGCTGCCGCTACCGCTGCTACCTCCCGGACACCCTGCCGCCGCCACTATCACAGCCGCCGCCGCCGCCGCCGCCACAGCTACAGCACGACCGGCGCCCGCGACGTCACCACGCCCCGCCCTCCGCGCACACCTAGCCCCGCCCCCGGGGGCCCGCGCGGCGCCCGCGCCCCGCCTCCCCCTCTCGCGGGCCGCCAGGCTTTCCCTCGTCCCTCTGGGAAGCGCCCCGCGACGCGGCCCGGGAGGACGGATCGCGTAGCGCGGCGCTTCGAGGCCACGAAGGTAACTGGGCGCCGAGGCAGAGTTGTGGCACACGTAGAGCCGCCCCTCACATTCACACACCCACGGCCGAGCGTCCACTGGAGAGCCAGGGCCGCGATTGCGAGCGGGGAAGGTGCGGGCGAAGAGGGGCGGCGTTTGTCTCCTCCTGCTTGCCGTAGGACGTGGACTGCAGGAAGCCCCAGGAGTGGAGTGGCCTTTCCCAAACCTGGAGTCGCCCCGCCCCCTCCTTGGCAGGCCCGTTACCCGAACCCTGGGATCGCCGCCACCTTAGGAAATAACTGTGGGCTTGTCACTCTGAGCTGCCTCGGCACCCTTTGTCCAAGAGAAGTTAGCTTGCCCCTCACACTTGGCTTTTGCGAAATGTGGCTGTGGAAGAAGATACTCTTGAGTCATCTGGGCTGTCCAAGCGGTCATCCTAAAGGACCCTCTCAGGAGGTGGCTTTTCTGCAGCTTTCATGCCAGGGAGGAAGAGCGTGGGCGGAACCTGGTGTCCACATGCGGTGCGTGCGCTGTGCCAAATGCTTCACCACGTTACCTTTTTTTATTTAGCCCTCACACCAAGCAAGGCGAACTACGAAGCAGCTGCTGCCTTATTTTAGACAACCTAGTTTTCTAGTGCTGAATCTCAACCTTTTCGTTTGTCAGGTGCAGGTCAAAATACAGAGGTAGGGGCAACACACAGTCATTAATTTTCAAATGTAGATAAGCTGTCTCTAAGCCAAAAATCTTAGGGTGGTGTGAATTATGTTCATCCCCATGCTCCCGGGGTTAATTAAGCTAATTTAAAATGTCTTTGAGATGAGAGGAGTTAAGACTCATTGCTTTACTCATCCTTAACCTCCCACCATAATTAACCAGCTTACACTCTTCATAATTCCATTAACATTTTCCCCCGTAGTATTCACATTCATTCACCAAATTCTGTTTTGTCCTTCCTTCACAGATTCTTTCATCGTTCCCTCCCAAAATTCACTTGGATCATCACAGTTCCTCGGGCACTCTGAATTGACTCACCATCCTTACAGCTCACGTAGGACACAACCCATTGTTAGAGTGTGCAGCCAAACAAGGCGACTGTAGGCAGCCAGAGAAGAGTCTCCAAAGATTTCATCTCTGGGACTGGGAAGATAGGGCTTAGTGGGTAAGAGCACTCACTCTGCAGGCTTGAGGACCTGAGTTTGAATCCCACATATAATCCAGACATGGTGCCAGGTGTTTGTAACACCAGCACTGGCGAAGGAAGACAGGTTCATCCCAAAAGCTGAGCAAAAAGATGAACCTCTGATTCCGTGAGAGACCCTGACTCAAGGCAGAAGGCAGAGGGCAACAGAGGAAGACACCTGCTGTCCTGTGGCCTCTGCATGTGCTCATGTCCACCCACACTCAGACATTGAGAGCGTCTCTGCATAGTAATATAGAGAAGTCTGCCCTGCTAAAGGTGTGCATGTCTCTGTGTGTTCAGGCTGCCCAGGGTGTCCTGGGACTCACAACAGTAGCTGGTTCAGGCTCCGAAATACAAGCATGTGACACGACACCTAGCACTGTGGTTGTTTGCTTGGCACCTGACCCCCTTCCTTTTTTCCAGTTTCTCTCTTTTGGAATGAGAATATCTATCCTGTGTATGTTCTGCCATTGTTTCCTGAAAGCATGTAACTTCTCTGGTTCTTAGCTGGAGAGAATTTTGCCTCAGGATGACTCATCCCAAGTCTCACCCATACGGAATTTAGATAATACAGAGTGAGTACCTCTTACCTAAAATGCTGGAACCAGACGTGATTCAGATTTTCTTTTCCTTTGTTTCTTTGTCTTGTTTTGTTCGGAGGGTGAGTTGTTTTTAGTGTTTTCGAGACAGGGTTTCTCTGTGTAGTTCTGGCTACCCCTAGAACTCACTCTCTGTAAACCAGACTGGCCTCGAACTCAGAGACTCCAAGTTCTAGAACCAAGTCTGAACACAGTTAATTTATTTCATATATACCTTTTTCAGGAGATATGTCCTAAAAGTCATTTCATACAATGCTTTTAATTTTAGCAAAAAGTAAGGTGAAAGATGCCACCTGTGATACCATGTTAGTGGTCGAAACATTTAGCTTTTGCAGCATTTTGATATTTATGATTTAATAAAGCTACTGGAGATCAAAATGCAAAGGTAGCCACAGCCATAGAGCCAGGCAGTGGTGATATATACCTTTAATTCCAGCAGCCATACTAGTTAGCCATAAAAGCCAGGCGGTGGTGGCACACACCTTTAATCCCAGGACTCAGGAGACCAAGGCAGATGGATCTCTGTGAGTCAAAGGCCACCCTAGACTAAAGAGTAACAGAATAACAGAGTCTAAAGAGTAACAGAGCTCACACTTTAATCCCAGCACTAGGGAGGTGGAGACAGGAGTGATATGGCTGGCTGGGGAAAGGATTATAAGGCAGGAGAAGATAGGAGCTCAGGGATTGCAGTCTGAGGCTTGGTGGAGAGCAGTGCAGTCATTATTGCACTCTGAGGATTCGTGGAGACAGGATCACTCATTTCAGTCTGAGGTAGAGGTAAGAGCTAGTGGTGGGCTGCTTTGCTTTTCTGATCTTCTACCACAGCATTTCAGATTTTTTTAAAGGATGTTTAACCTCTTTTTGTTTGCTTTAATTTGGGGAATTTTGTTTTTTAGTTGTTGTAGTTTTCTACCTCCTCCTGGGGTGAGACTCTCACTAGACTGGTCTTGAATTACTGAGTTCAAATGACACCTTACAAACCCTCAGTCTCCCAAATGCTGGAACTGCAGGCCAGTGACACCACACCCCGTTTAACCTGTATTTAGTTAGGTAATATTTTGGATTTAAAATTCATGTGAACATGAATGGTCTGTTGGAATGGATAGAATGCATTTTTCATTTGAGAGGAACATAAATCTGAATGATCTGGAGTTGTATTGAATTAGGTTCCTTTGAAATTCAGATTTTGAAATGTTAATCTTCAAAGAGGTCATCTTCGGTCTGTGGTGTGGCTGCACTAACCAACTAATAGAGACACTATCCAAAAAGTTTTTTTAAAAAAACTGAATATACAGGCCCATGCCTATAGTTGAGCACTCTGGAGGCTGAGACTTCAGCATTAAGTCTGTGCTATGTAGTGAAGCCCTGTCTTAAATTAAAATGAGACTGAAAGGGGCCTAAACGGCAGCGTGGATTTGGGAAAACAATTTGCAAATCCTATCTCTTCCATATCTAAAACTCAACAATAGGAAGACAACCCACATTCAAAGGATGAAAGAATAATCTAAATAGATATTTTCCCAAAGATATCCAGATAGCCAAAAAAGAACTGAGAAGTTGCCCAACATCGTTAATCATTAGAATTAGTTCTAGGCCAGGCAGAGAGATAGAGCAAAACACCGTCTCAGCACTGAGGAGGCCTAGGTGGCCAGATTACCGTGAGTTTGAAGCCAGCCTGAGCTACAGAGTGAGACTCAGTTTCGAGGACAACAGAGGATGTAGCTCAGTGGCAGGAGGACCTAGGTTAAATACCCAGTGCTAAAATCAATAATAACAGCAAGGGGAGGGGGGACTTTCTAAAAAGCTATGCGCACCACTAATATATATATCTCATATGGAAACTTAGTATATGGTCCTTTCTTGCCTGTGGGCAGATTGGAAATAGAGTTTTTATTGTGGGTGACCACACATACAGTTAAAATTAAGACCTATAGCCAAGTCACTTGGGAGGAAGACAGAATCAGGAGTTCAAGGCCACCAAAAGTACAAAAGACCCCTACATTTAAAAAAAAAAAAGTAAATGTAGCCCATGGTTCTGTAATCCCAGTATTCACAGGGCTGACAAAGAAGATCTAGAGTTGGAGGCCAGCACGGGCTACATGGTAGACTGTCTTAAAAAAATAATAATAATAAAACAAAAATTTAAGATGGTCTGTTACCAAACTAGGTAGAAAGATGATTATAAGAGAGAAACTCAAATGTTTGCCAGAATTTCTGAAATTTGGACCAGAGAGTTTTGGACCAGCTCAGTGGATACAGATGCTTACTGCCAACCCTGACAATGTTGAGTTCAATCCCCAGGATCCACACCGTAAAAGGAGGAACCAACTCTTCAAGTTGTGCTCTGACTTCACCTGCATGCTGTGGCACCTGTGTCCACACCCCTCTCCACAAAATCAGTAAATGTAATAAATATTTAAAATAATTACTAATCTTTCAAACTTCAATTACACCAGGCAGTGGTGGTGCACACTTTAAATCCCAGCACTCAGGAGGCAGAGGCAGCAGGATTTCTTTTGAGTTCGAGGCCAGCCTGGTCTACAAAGTGTGTTCCAGAACAGCCAGGGCTGTTAACACAGAGAAACTCTGTGTCCACACAACAACAAAACAAAACAAAAAAAAAACCCACTTAAATCACATTAGATTCATCTAAGAACAAGTAAAGTAGAAGATTCAACTACAGAAGGTATCTAAAATGCTGAACAAAGAAATAAAATGGAAATGTAGGCTAAAGCCACACAAGAACTAGGTGTAGTGGTGTAGTTCGTACTCCCTGAGACTGGATTCTGAGACAGAAGGCAAGGTCTACTTGGCTATAGAGAATGTGGGCAATTTAAAAAGTAAAAAGAGGGTAGAAATGTAGCCTAGTGGTGGGGTGCTTACTTAGAATGAATGAGAACCCAGATTCAAACAGTACCGTAAAAATATTATCAGTTGTCTTTGGTTTTTTGTTTGTTTGTTTGGTTGGTTTTTGGTTTTGGGTTTTTTTTGGTTTTGGTTTTTGGGGGTTTTTTGTTTTTGGTTTTTGGGGGGTTTCGAGCAGGGTCTTCTCTGTGGCTTTGGAGACCCAATTGTCATTTCTTTGGGTTGATATAAATGTCACAGGCTGGATAGCTTAAAACAATAGAAATTTATTGTTCCACAGCTCTGGGGCTGAGGAAATGGCTCAGTAGTAGAGCTCATGATTAGTAAACATGAAGCCCTGGGTTTAATGCCCAGCTTCTAGCACTTCAGAAACATTCTGAAGTACCAGCAGGGTCATGTCCCTCTGAAACCTGTAGGGAGGTGCCTTCCTGCCTTTTCCTGGCTTCTGGTGATTGCCTAGAAATTCTTAACATTCCTTGACTTGCAGTTCCTGATTTCAGCCTCTGCCTCCTTCACATGCATTCTCCCTCTGGATGTTGAATGTCTTCTGTGTTTGCTTTTAGAAAGGATCTGCTATCCAGACCAGCCTTGAATGCCTAGACTCAAGTCAGGGTCCCATCTCACCCTGCTCTAGCATCATCCTTTTCGCTTCCATTTTGGTTTTGAAGCTAGATCTTTTTAAAAGATTTATTATCTTTTTTTTTCTCTTTCTTTCTTTCTTTCTTTTTTTTTTTTTTTTTTTTTTTTTTTTTTTTTGGTTTTTCAAGACAGGGTTTCTCTGTGGCTTTGGAGGCTGTCCTAGAACTCGTTCTGTAGACCAGGCTGGTCTCAAACTCACAGAGATCCACCTGCCTCTGCCTCCTGAGTGCTGGGATTAAAGGCTTGTGCCACCAACGCCCAGCTCAAAAGATTTATTATCTTTAATTGTGTGTATATATGGTAAAAAGTAGTGTGTTATGGAACTTGAGAATTGACTCCATGGTTAAAAGCACTTGTTCTTGTAGAGAACCTGGGTTCTACTTCCAGAATCCTCATGGAGGCTCACAACTATCTTTAACTGCCAGGTCCAGGGGATACAATGCCCTCTTCTGACCTCCACAAGCACACATGTAAAAATAAATAATTAATGTATATTATAATTGAGTTTACAGAGGCTGAAGAGATGGCACAACAGTTAAGAGCTCTGGCTGTTCTTCTAAAAGACCCAGGTTCAATTCCCAGCATCCACTTGGCAGCTGACAACTAACTGTCTGTAACTCCAGTTCCAGAGAATCTGACACCTTCACACAAATACACATAATTTTTTTAAAAGGTGAGGGGCAGCTGGAAAGACGGTTCAGATGTTAAAGGCTAGGCTTACAACCAAAACATATAATTGGGTTTACTAAGGTTACAAGTGGGTTTGGTGGTTTGGTTTGGGTTTGTTGTTGTTTTTCTTTTTTCTTTTCTTTTTTTCTTTTTTTCTTTTTTCTTTCCCTAAACAGGGTTTCTCTGTGTAACAGCCCCAGTTATCCTGGAACTCACTCTGTAGAACAGATTGGTCTTGAACTCACAGAAATCTACCTTCCTCTGACTCCCAAGTACTGGAATTAAAGACATGTGACAACACACCAGGCCTATTTTCAGGGTTTTTAAAAATGATTTTAAGGATTTATTAGTTTTATGTATTTGGATGTCTTGTCTACAGAAAGATCTGTGCATAGATGCATGCAGTGATTGTGGAGGCTAGAAGGAGACGTTAGCTCTAGAGCAATGGAGGGTTGGGAGCCACCCTGGAAGAGCTGCCAGTATTCTTAACCACTGAGCCATCTCTCCAGTCCCTGATTTTTTTTTTTATTTTAATGAAGCAAACCTTCATTAAGGCTTACATTTTGGCATGGAAATGCTTTTCAACTGACTAAATTCCAACACC